CCTCTTTTAATAAACCCCTTCTCAAAATAAACCTACATATGAGAAAAGGAATCTGAAATATCTATTAAAAATAGGTCTTTGAGCACAAGAAGCAGGCCTACAGTCAACTCATATGTTTTTGAATCTCATCATCCACCTAATAAAGAAATATATATAATTTGTGATCACACCTGGGCTGAATTTTAGCTTTCAACATTAAAATAAAGTACATGAAGCCAATTGTTATACAAACATTTTGAAGGGAGGAGAAGAGTGTTTAAAGCTTTTCAGTAGCATTTGCTGACATACATCATCAAATATGCTCCGTTTAGATTATTTTTATCTATTGATAATGCTAATACAAAAAACCCCCTTGACTGTAGGTGTTAGCAAAGGCACAATGGCCAACACTGCTGGTTAACTTTCGAACATTCATTCTTACCCTTTCTGCTCTTAAGGCTGGAAGACCTAAATTCTTGCCTTTGCAACATCCCTTCCCACTAGACATGATGATGGGCCACTGTTCTAACCAGTGAAAAATAAGCAACATCTACTTGGGGTGGAAAAGATTGACCAAGATTTTGTTTTCTTTCTCTAAAGAGACAAAAATAGCTGGTAACACTTCTTCTCCTTCATGCTACTTGAACATGAGTGCAATATCTGGGAGCTGCCATCTTGTGAACAAGAAGAAAAGGCCAAGAGAATCATAAATCAGTCAGTCTTGATTTCCCTGAACCACCAGCCTCTGCCTGCTACCATTTTTCTTGTAATGAGAGAAAGAGAACTGCCTATCTGTTCACATTACTGGGCTGGTTTTTTTTTTTTTTTGTTACTTGTAGACAGCTGCATTTGGCTGCATTTTATTGGTTTTGTTTCCTAGAAATCAGCTTTGAAGGTATAAGAAAGAGATAAAGCAGTAGTGTGTGAGTGTAACACATGTAATTCAGATGAAACTCAGTTCTCTAAATTCTGAATAATAAGTGTTTATGACATATCCTTACATTAGGTAGCAAGAACAATCCATTGGAGCTCATTTGGAAGGATGTTTGAAATGCCTAAACCCCTAAAAACTATCTTCCGCTGTAGCACCCGGAGGGTTCATGTCAGAGGCTCATAAAACTTGTTAATTTTATCAGGAAATACTTACACAATAAAACGAAAGGTTTTCATAGGTACTTATCACTGTCTGCTTGGTGGCTGGCACTGATCACCATCTTAACATCCTTGTGTTTTTGTTTGGTCTGAAGTGAGATGAAACGATGACGTTTCTTTTTCTTCTTTTTTCTTTCTTCCTTTCTTTCTCCCTCTTCTTCTCTCTTTCTTCCTTTATTTTATTTTCCTTTTTTTAAAAAAATGTATTTCTAAGAAATATTGTGACTCACTTTCTCACCCCTAAGGAAGTTTCTAAACTCCAGAATTGGCCAGGGGGAGCCTGAGAGGGAAAAGTACATCTCAAGCGTATAAGACTTCTTCTGGCAGTTCACTTAATTCTGTCGGATATTTTTATCCGAAGTCACAGATTCTTCCTCGTAGTTCCTATGAGAAGGAGCTTCAGGAATCTGATGCTGGTATTCTCTGGAGTAAACCACCAGCCATTTCTGCTTTGTCCTTGCACTTCTCCAGAAGAAGGGACTATGCCAGTGTGAGCAGTAGACATCTTCCTTCTAGTGAGATTTAGTCAATGTCCAATATATAAAATAAAATAATATATAGCACCAGTTTATATTGTTTCCTAGATGAAGGCTGGTTACTGTGTGACAGGTTCTATGTGGATCAAGTAGTTAGATTATTTAAGAAATTGTGCGATCAATAAAATGTGGGCGGGGGGAGAGGAATGGAGACAACTGTGGACATCAGAGATAGTGTGAGAAGAGGGTGGGAAAGGGCAGAGGGTTAGATACAGGGGTATCAATCTTCTTTAAGTCCTACAATAGCAGCTGAGGTATAAACTGTTAATTGCATTTTTATCAATGAAAAAATAGAGACCTAGAGTGGAATTGTTTTTTAAGGCTAAGTGTAGGGAGGGTATGTTGTTATATCTCATCTTTACCATAGGGTCAGCTTTTTTTTTTGTTTTGTTTTTGTTTTTAGGTTTATGCCACAGGAAGGGTGCACTCACTGGAGGGAGACAGAGAGAAACAGTGAGAGAGAAACTGAGAAATGAGAAACCCCCCACCACCATGGGGATTGGCCAGGCCACAATCCCTTTTTCTTCATTCTTCTTCTGGAATTTTGGGCACACATGCACCCAACATGATTTTCAAGCCACTGGGTCTGAGATACCAACTGTGGATGGCCCTGTGGGAGTTCAGTGCCTTAAAAACCATGCCACCTGTTGGTCCCCAGTATCAGATCTTAAGATACCCTAGTGTTGGACCAGCAGTTGGCGTAATGGCTGTTGCTGGACTCCCACTCCATGGTTCGAGTCCTGGACCTGGCGGCTTAAACTCACGCTCGGTGTATGTGCCTACAAGCCCAAGATTCAGAGAGGAGAATGGAGGAGAAGGGATTGTAAAGTGACCATCTCCCCGGGGGGTGATTTCTCACTTTCTGTCTCTCTGTCTTTCTGGTATGCACCCTAGGGCAAGAAAACAAAAACAATGACAACAACGAAACTCTCAAAAAAAAAAAAAAAAAAAAAAAAAAAGATACCCTAGTGTAACCCTCAGAAGTCTACAGTTTGAAAAGTCTTTTGCAGCCAGAGGTCACAACCTCAAATACCCCCCAGGGGCCACCTGAGTAACAGAGGAATATGGGTTGTCAGGTTGCGGCTGCGATGAATTGGCAAATGCATGGCTCTGCTAAAGAGGGCAGCTGCCACTCAGTTTTGGACAAACATTGCCAAACTCTGTACGTTTAGATAAAAATGCCTAACAGATTCAGTTTGTAGACCAAGAGCTTGAGACCTCTGGAGGAATGGTAGGGAGTATGAAAGCACTCCCTGAGGACACATCACAGGAGTGCCATTAAGAAGTGAGATACCGCTGGTGAAGGAAATAAAGGAGAAAAAACGAACTCACAGGTCTTTTCCAACACACGCAGATTTTGATGGCCCTACCTCATACTCACTGTATAAAAACCATCTTCTCCCTGTTTATCCACTGGCCTATTTATTTTTAAGTAAGGCCTTCCTCTGCTTGGTTCTACCTTTCACCATGTGTTTGCCAGAATATGGGCCAACTATTCAGTCTGACACCTCCTCTCCCATGCCCCCCTCCCCCAACTGTCTTCTTATTTAAAGAAAAATAAGATGACAATGGTGAATGACGAGACTTTCTAAATTATATGCCAGGCAAAATAAATTCTGGGGGAAGCTTGTTAGGAAGATTTTATTCCACTGCCACTTGAGAACATTGGTCTTCATTGAAAAGCAATCGCAAAATGCAGATAAATAGTAAAGATGCCTCCAGAACACATCCAAGAGGCCTTGATATATATGGTTTATGCCCCAGATTTATCTATGGAGACCATATTCTAAGCCACAATTCCGTGTATACTTGAGACACTCAATAATCTATAAGGGATGCCTACTGGTTTACTGAAAAAGGTTTCATGGACATTAAGCAACTATAAAAAGAAATATAAGATTTAAAACAATTTGTGGAAAAATATAATTAAAGGGTGAGCTTATTTTGGTGAAAAAACAACTTGAAATCTATGCAATTTTTTTTTTCATAAAACACATTTTCCATGAACTTTTTGAAGACATACTCCCCCCCACCCCCCACCCCCCCGCCGTACAATTAGGTGAATTGCAGGAGATTTGTGCATAAACACTCTTGCATATAATTGAAAAAAAAAATCACACGCAGACAAAAGGTCAGCAAGTGTGGGAAATGATCTGGACTGGTAGTTTTCAAATTTCCTTTTTCCTTCCCTCTTTTCCATTTTTCCTCTTTTCTTAGCTTCACAGCAACATTTTCTTTTTTCAAAATAAAGTCTGTTCACTAGTCCCATTTAAGGAAAACAGAAACAATGGCGTTAGTCTGGCTCTATGTGGGGGCTTAAACCCCAGTTAAAGTCTGTTCACTAGTCCCATTTAAGGAAAACAGAAACAATGGAGTTACTTTGTCTCTATGTGGGGGCTTAAACCCCAGTGAGTTTACTACCCTTCTACTTTCAATTCACTATCTGAGGTACCTCTGAGAAACTCCACTTTTGAGCTGCAAGAAAACAATTTATATCACCCCTGGAACTAGATTATTTTCAAGGTCTTTCTCAGAAACAAGAATAGGAGAAGCCCTTTCTCGTTAAGATGCAGAAGCCAAGGTCAACCAGCTCTACAAAGCATGAAGTGACCTGCCCGGAGCTGCATAGAGAGCACATGTGCTAAGGGCAGTGCTGGAGCCCTGTCCCAGTCCATGCTCCTCACTGCATGCTGAAGCAGTGCAGGGCCGTGGTCTGTACCTCAGCTCCTCTACCTACTAGATAAGTAACCTTGACAAGAGAGTCAACATGTTATGATTCCTGGTTTACAAAAGGAGATATAATGGGAATCCCTCCTCTGTGAGGATTCAATGAGTTAATGCATGGAGAGGACTAAGAACCTTACTTGGCACTGGGTAGCTGCTCAATAAATGTTAGCTGTACCATACTGTCTCCCTATTCTTTCTCTGTGCCCCTTAGCTCCAGAATATCAGCATCATCATTATACCTGTTAATCTTGACAGAGCACATAAGTCAGTTAGCAAACAAAGCTGGCCCAGGCACAGGATGCATCCAGGTAGTCCACAGTGTACAGGGGACAGTTGACTATAAAGAATAGTTGAAAAGTTGACTACAATGAAGTCTGTAAATCATTCTTATCTCCTAACTTTCCAGCATTTTTTCCAAAAAATAAATTATATTTATGGATATAAACACACACACACACATATATTTACACACACACACACACACACATATATATATATATACACACACATATATTTATATACACACACACACACACATATATATATACATATAAATATACATATATGTATAACATTGAATAAAAGGGCTGGAATGAGTTTACTGACCTGGGGGAAATGTCACATCCTTGTTGCATGAAGGCTCCCAGGGAGAACCACAAGCTATTGAATATCCCAAACTCATTGGATTGGTCACTGGTTGTCTGGTCCCGTCCTTCCTCAAACTCTTCACTGTGCCATTCGTAGGGGCTGAAGCGACTGACCAAGAAGAGGACAACGCTCACTCCAATGTAGGCAAAAACAATACACATCCAAATCTCATAAGCCAAAGGATCAAGGAAGGAGAAGACTCCTGGCTTGGACTTCTGTGGCTTCTTTATCATGATGGAAATCCCCAAACTCATGAATGGTTTGGAGAAGTCTATAACCTCTTCCCGGACCAAGGTGATAGTTAAGGGGGCCACAGCCACATCTGCTCTCTGGAAAACAAAGACACAAATAAACAAAAATGCAGTTGAGCTCAGCAGCTCTCTTTGTTCTCTCTCTCTCTTTTTTTTTTCACTGTGAATATTCTTTTGTATTTTAGAAGACATGAGAATGGGAAAGACCCTTAACTGTCCGACCCTTCCTCCTCTATAAAATAGTTATTGCTAATGGATGAATAGCTCAAACCCTTACAGGGCAGATTATCCCATTGTTGGATAGTTCTAATTGTCAGAGGCTTCTTCCCTGTCCTGCAAGAAGTAAGCAGGTATTTTGCCTGACCAGATGCCATGTATCTTTCCTAGGTAGGAGAGCCTCTCTGTTCCCTCATCTCAGTTGAAATGGGGCTGATCACTCAGGTTACATGGGAAAGTACAAGACTCAAGTCTGGCCAATCAGAATGCTCCACTCCTCTGGCCAGAATGGTTTGTTCAAGGATGGCATAGGACCGAAGACAGGAAGGATCCCTGAAAAGTTGGAGCTGAGAGCTGCAGATTATGATCCCTAGTGTGACCTTTTGAGCCACTCTAAATGCAGGTGTCCTCTGGACTCCACACGGACACATGCTAATAATTCCTCTGTTTGTTGCCAAGAAAGTGAACCATCCTTCTGTTCACCTAAACCAGTTAGAATAGGGTTTCTTTCAGCTGCAACCGAGATCCTCCTGGCTAATAAGGTGGTAAAGTCATGTCTAACCCAAGAAATATTCTGAGTATGCCTTGGCTGGAAGCTGTAGGTAAACTATTGTCCCCACACTCAGGAAATGAGAAACTAGTAGGAGAGACTGAAACACACACATGCACATACATACATGTGCACACACATGCACACGCACACACGCACATGCACACATGCACACACCTAATTTTCTAGTCTAAAAAGTGGAAAAATGCTTTCTGACCATGGAGATCAGGGACTATGTCATAGAAGAAGTGACAAATCTAGCATGAGAAAAAGGGTGGGATTTTGACAGACTACTCTGGCACAGTGTGGCATTCCAGGAGGAGACAAACATGCGAGTAAAAGCCTGGTGATAGAAAGATAAAGTGGGATAGCAGTTCTTTCTTTTCTTAGGAAGACTGCTAAGAAAATATGCACAAACTTTTTAAATTTTACATTTAGTTTATAGATGACCAGGAAAAGCTTGCAAGAAGTGTTCATTATTGAGCATTCAGCAGGTGTAATCACCAGGCCTAGCTATTGTCTTTCCTACCTCTCTCAAATGGCAGAAGCACTGGCATTTACTCAATAGGAAAATCACTGCTCTGCTGGCCTGGGACCAGGAGATCCTGGAAATCTAAGTTTCCATGGACAGATGCCACAATGGTCATGTCTGAAATGAGAGACATTGGTAGCCAGGCCCTTTTGGGGTGAGTGGCTTTCTTTTAACATGCTATGCAATGGTCCAGATGTGAGGTGGTGACAGATGCTATATAGATGAGGGCTATCAGCCAGCTGTGGCTTAGAGACTTCCTCTAAGCAATAATAATTGCTGCCATTGGTTGAGATTACCAAGAAAGTGCTTTAGGTGGAATATAAAGGCTGACTTCGGCATGACTTATGTTCTCACTTATACAAAAGAACTTTCCATAAAGCAAGGTAGAGCCAGGTTTCCCCTGACAACACCCACTGCATAAATTTTGACAATTTTCCTATAAATACTTGTAAATCAGTACCAGGGTGAAGATATTTACTCTATTCTTTGTAATCTAACACAGAAAAGGAATGGGAGAGAGAAGTAATGGAAATGACATGGAGGTACCCAGAAGGGAGATGGATGAAGGCCAGCTCTGAAAGGGTTAAAGATATTGAACAAGTTTGTTCGATGCTCCCTGATGTGAGTTAATAAGAGATCATACACTGACAAATCGTAAAACCACATCATCTGAATGCTTAGTTCATTTAACAGTTCAAAAATTTGTTCCATGCAACATTATTTCTGGAAGGATAGTAATAAGTATGCCATAAAAATAAATGTGTTTGGAAAACATGAATTTAAACAGGTTACTTGGAGCAGAACTTCTCAGAACCTTTAAAAGACCACTATGAACTGAGAATTTCCAAGAGAGGCAAGTAGGTTACAGTATTTCCCAAATTATTTGCCACGGATCCTCTATTTCTCTAAGCCTCAAAAGGGATTTGAGTGTGTAGGATGTATATACAGAGAGAGATGCTAAATTCAACTACCTCATTTTATAGTTGCCACACTCAGGTCCAGAGAAAGGAGGTGGTTTGTGCAAAGCAGCAGTGTTTTAACTTGTTTGATCCTGAGGAAAGGGCCTCAGGAGTTGGTTTCCACTGCCTAAGGTAGTTCCTGATGCTTCACAAGACCCGGCAAGGACAGAGCTGATCTAAGAGCAGGATGCTTTTCTCTGCAACTCACTCTGTAGCCACAAGCAAAACAGTTGTCAGTTTGAATATCAATGTCTCCTTTAAAAGGGGCATACTAATTCTGCTTTTACCTGTTTCACAGAATTGCTTTGTGAGGGTCAAAATACTTTAAACATGTGAGAGTACTGTGCAGTGGGAGCATTTTATAGGCACTCAAAAATTATTTTCTTAGGCTGACATCTTAGAATAATGGCCCTCAAACTTGAACATGCACCTGAATCGCCTGGGAGACTTTTAAAAATACAGAGGACAGGGGCCAACAGATGGCATAGTGACTACGTTGCTGGACTCCCACATGGCTGACTGTGGTTTGAGTCCCAGACTCAGTGGCTTGAGACTCATGACAGGGCACATGTGTGTGCATGCTCAAGATCCCAGGAGGAGAATGTAGGAGAAGGGATTGTGGCAGGGCCATCGCCCTGGAGGGGTGATTTCTCACTCTCTGCCTCCCCCAGCTTGCTGAGTACATGTGCCCTAAGGCAAAAACTGCTACCAAAAAACAAACGAAAAATACAGATGACAGAGTTTCTAGATTTACTGGGTCTGAGGTGAGATGTGAGAATTTATGTATCTAACAAGTTCTCAGGTGATGTTGATGCTGTTGATCAAAGGGTTACACTTTGAGAACCACTGATCCAAGAAACCTAAAGACGAAATATTTGATGTCTAGAAACAATCATGCAGAGAAATAGTACACAATTTTGAAGTGGTAGGAAAAAAAGCAAGAAGTACACAAAACTGCCAGAAATGTAGATCTACTCTGAGCCAGGCACCGTGTAGATGAATATCCCCTACCACAGCCCTCTGATAAAGAATTCATTTTCCCTGTGTTTATAGGGGTGACCCTTGGAGGAGTCAGGCAGCCAGTCATTTGGCAGAGTCAGAACTCAAATCCAGGTGTGCTCTGCAAAGCCCACCCTCTTTCTGCTTCAGCAAGGCTAAGGACAGACAGGAAAGACACCTGTGTCTAAGGCATAGAGCCATCTCTGTGCAAGAAGCAAAAAAATCCATGTGGCATCTGCAAATGCTGACACTGGCTGCTCTCACTGAGTGCTGGATTTACAGTCCAATATTTGGATGGTGTGATTTCTACAGAGGCTTTGTGTCCCAGCACGGAGTATAAAAGTGAGGGTTGCATGTCCTGACTCTGCTTTTACCAGCTGTGCTTTTGTCTAGTTACATAACTTCCCTGGGTCTCAGTGTCTTCATCTCTAAAATGTACAAAATAATGTCTGCTTTATGGGATTGATCTGAGGAGTGAAAGAATGTGTATAAGGTGCTTAGCATAGAACTGCACATACTATGTGATGAAATGTTACTGCCATCATTGTTATGAACAAGGAGACAGAAGAAGGATAAGTGAGACACTGATTGACTTAGTTACTTAAAAGGGACAGAAAGAGTAAATTTAGAGGACTCTGAATGAATTTTTCTGACCTTCCTGGTGATTTGTGGTTGAGAGATACTTCCCCAAATCCATCTGTTCTTCTCAGGGGAACAGAAAAGGAACGTTCAACTAAGAGAGGGCTAGTTGGTACTATCATGGAGTCTTCAGAGTCCTGCCCTGTGCAGATGGTTGGGCAGATAGAGGGGTTGAGGCAGAGGGCAGGGCCGGCAGCAGAGGTATCCAGAGGTAACTGTAGTCCATCTGGGCTTGATGAGTCAGTGACTCCCACTGACCGCTGACCCTTGGGGATGCTTGTCCTCTACATGATCATACCGTTGTGCCATCCAGATCACAGATTTTTACTAAGGAAACTATATTACACAGGTGAAGGTGAAGATGAATGCTGCAGAAGGTGAAAAGTTTACAGCAGTTGCCATGGGGATGACCTTAAGAGCTTGGTGGAAGTTCCCATGGAAACCAGCTTCCAGATTTAGTATGAACCATCCGGGGTCTCTATTTTTCATCAATGGAGCTTTCTAACATGAAAAGCTGAGGAGGGATGAAGAAAGGGGAGATATAAACCCCATTCCTTAACTCATTGACGTCCTCCACAAGTCATTTCGAAAGTTACCCTCCCCAGCTTCCTGTCCAGGAAGATTTTCTTCATTCTCTTCTTTTTTGAATTCACTTTGTATAAGATATGTCTCTTACTGTCATCATGCCTATTTTTGCCCTGATATGAGACAATGATATTTCAAATACCCCTCTATCATTTTTTCATCCTGTTTGGTACTCAGCATCAGCCTGGGGCTTGGTATATGCTTCAGCTCAAAGACTCAGAGAGTTTCAGCTCCTGGAAGTGAAGCCATGGTGGGCTCCTTCCATGTAGGCAAGAGATTCTTCTCCCATGGCCTTTTGCTATTTCTCTACTCAGTTCAAGGACTTTCATGATCTCCCAGTGCCCATCACATTAATCCACATTCTTCCCCTTGTCATTCCTTTTTTGTTTTACTTTATTTAGAATTGACACATGCTAATTGTGCACATTTATCAGATAGGTACAGTGTGATGTTTAAAACATGTATAAATCCTGTAATGATCAAATTTGGGCATTTACTCAAACATATCCCTGATTACTCTTCAATGAAAATCCATCAGAGTTGGGACCAGCGGATAGCATAATGGTACATCACTGGATTCTTACATGACTGACCACAGTTCAAGTCCCAGGCCTGTCAGGTTGAAACTCAATGAAGGGTGTGTGTGTGTGTGTGTGTGTGTTTGTGCGTGCATGCACATGCATGTGTCCCAAAAATGCTGAAAGGAGAATGGAATGGAGGAAAAGGGATTGTGTGTGGCCATTTCCCTCAGGGGTGATTTCTTGCTTTCTTTTCTTTTTCTGTCGCTCCAGCAAGCACATGCACCCTATAGCAAAAATCTCTTAAAAACAAACCAAAAACCATCAGTGTTTTCTCTCTCTCCTCTCATATTTTACTTATTTCCACTACCATCTTATAGTTTATGCAATAGACATTCTTGGTCTGCCTTTCTATTTGAATGTGGCCACTTTTTAAGTTCCATATACTTTTTGAAGGCTAAACTCATAGTACCTTGTTATCTGAACTTTCTAATTTAGATTGCCCAAGTCAATGCTGTTCTTTGGTAGTCTCTCTCATTGTCTTTCCTACTCTATAAAATGGTAAAATCCTTGGTGATAGGGTTCTGATCTTTAACTTAATGACTCCCTAAACACTTAAAAGAATGCAGGGCCTTTAGTGACTTCTCAAAACGGCTTCAGTTTAGTGAAGATTTTACGGCAATTGTACATGGAGTTATTTCAAATGTGGTGAAGTGATACAAAGATGGAGCAGACCTATCCCTACTACTGAGATAACTACTGTACAAGGCAGGATAAGCCATAAAATAAGCAGAAACTAACTTCTACATGGAGGGCAAGAAGAGTTAAAAGAGAAGTTCACTCTGTTATGGGGATAAAGAAATGACACCTGTGACAAATGCTTGATGCAGGTTTTGGAGGAGGGGTAGGATTTTAGGAGTGGAGAATGGAAGGCAGTGTTTTGGGGAATACAGTGTAGAGAAAGTTTAGCTGAACTGAAAGTTGTAAGAGAGAAGATCTAGGGGATATGACTAGAAGGTTAGGTTGGATCCAGGTGCATATAATACCAGAGAAGAAATTTATACTGAGGGACCAAAAATTACTGTGTGTAGCAAAGTGACAACTAAGCAGTCTGCCTCATGAAACTTGCTCTTGGAACTATAACTGTCAATTGGTTTGGACAATGATAAACTGAAGTTACAAGATATTGACTGGGGCTGAGAGAGCTGGGACCAGGAACCTAAACAGAGAGTGTCTTAAGACATTGGATTTTGGATGACTGATTTATTCAGCAGAAATGATATTCAATTATAGGATCTAATAAGCATCTGTAGGAAAGGCCACCAAACCACCAAATGATTTATCTTCAAACCCTCTGCCTCTGCCTGTCAATTCCACACCATGGGGAGAACTTACTCCATACACCAGCTCTCCCACCATGCCATTCCAGGCTTTTGTGTCAGGGTCTCGGGCTCCATATTTTCCATCACTGACGATCTCAAGACGGTAGGAGTAGCCCACATGCTTGGCAATCTCTGCTGCCAACTCTACACAGTAGCCCTCGTAGCGGTCATTGCCCTCAAACTGGTTGGCATTCTTCTTGAGCATCACATAAGGATCTTCCTGATAGAGAAATGGGGAGACAGAGAATGTGGGTTAGGAGCTCACCCATGGATAGAGAGGACTTTGGGATGGCAGAGGAGGATGTCACCAATGTTAATAACATTGGGCAAGTATTTCTAGCCTTTCAATTTACCTTCTGAATTTCTGGTCTCCCTCTCTGTCCAATTACAAACTTCTTGGATTTAAGGAAGCAAATTGGTAAGATAAGAATGGATCTTCACTGAGATGTAAGGCACAGCTTTTTGAAGTATGTTCTAGGAGCTCTTGTAGTTTTTAGAGATACCTCTGGGGGCACCATTAAGGGGAAGTAGACCCTGAATAGGCTCCAGCTTTCTCATGATCAGTCATTGAAGATCACAGCATAGCTTCAATTGTATCTACTTTATGTGCTGGACTTCAGGTGACTTTTTTTTGAAAATGGCTTCTGCTGAGGGAGGGTGGAGTATGAAAACCAGTACAATTTAATCTCCTCCTTATGGTTTACATGTGAAGAAACTGGCTCAAAAGGGAGCAAGAAGGGACCAGCAGTTGGCATAAGGCTATGTCGCTGGACTGCCATGTAGTCGACTGCGGTGCGAGTCCCGGACCCGGTGGCTTAAAACTCACGCCAGGCGTGTGTATGTGCATGCCCAAGATCCCGAGAGGAGAATGGAGGTGAAGGGATTGTGGCATGGCCATCCCCCCTGGGGGGGGATTTCTCTGTCTCTCTGTTTCTCTCTGCCTGTCTGGTGAGTGCACGCACCCTATAGCAAAAAACCTCTAAAAAAGGGGGGGGAGTAAGAAGCTTATTTTAGGGTACAAAGTAAAAGTGAGACTAGGAAGTAGTGAGAAAACCCAGAACCTTTCATTTTCAAGGTATCCCTTTTTCGATTATCTTTCTACTGATGGCATAGTTTTGGAAAGACAAATGACCAGCTTTTGCATCTGGTAGAATACCGTTGTACTGATTAGCTTGAATCCCAAGTCACCTCAGTGCAGGTCTGAGTACTCACTAGGATTGTCGTGACGATGTATGTTCTGTTCTGAACACTTGAATTATCCCCCCCAGCTTGAGCATCGGTGGCTGCAGGGACAAACTTATCATCTTCATTCCAGTAACCGATCTGTTAATGAAAACAAGGTGGATATGTGAGGTGGGCCAACCAGTCAATACCACAGGCAGGGAAGCAAGGATCTCAGCATTGCCTCATGCTGTGTTGGACACACCAGGCTCTAAAGAATCAGTAAACAGGAACAACAAGAGGCAAGATGCTCCTTGTGATGGGATAAGTCTGAAAATTGCCCCAAATGAGGGGTATGGGTTTACCTGTTTACCCTGCTAAACTGTTCAGTATAGTGCAAGCCAGGACTGGATTTAGTTCCCTACAGTTTTTCATAGCCCTCTCCCCCAAGACTTTCCCTCAATGCTTCTTAACCCTTCCCTTCACTGAGTGCATTCTGAACTGCATTTGGAATCCTGTTAATACAGACATTAAATGTAATTATATTTCTCTTACTTTCTGTTTAGGTTAACAGTGTTTTCCCATTCAGATATAACTTCCTAGGATGATTATGTTATCCTTTATTGCTTATTTGCAAGTACCAACTCTCATAACACTGAGCGTGCAGTAGCAAGTAAAGTAAGAGTTGACAACACTAATTTCTCAACTATCAGCAGGTTACTTGTACTGACTCATTTTTTAAAGTCTGTCAGCAAATGTTTATCAAATCCCTATTGTGTGCAAGGCTTTGGTCTACAACATTAGCAAGGTGTACATGGAAAGACTGAGAAAGATTAAAGGAAATCTAAGAAATGGTCTATGCTCTGAGAATACCTCTGGTCTACTTGGGAAGCCACATCCACATGGCCCAGAAGTGACAAGTGAGTGGGGCTAACAAGTTCAAAGAAGCAAAAGTCAAGCATGGGATGCTACACAGCGGAAAAGGGCATCAGGAAGACATGGAGTTTAAGATAATGAGAGATGGGACCAGCAGTTAGCATAATGGCTATATCGCTGGACTCCCATGTAGTCGACCGTGGTTCGAGTCCCGGACCCAGTGGCTTAAACTCACGCCGGGCACCTGTGTGTGTGCCCAAGGTCCCAAGAAGAGAATGGAGGAGAAGGGATTGCGGCATGGCCATCCCCTCTGGGGGGTGGTTTCTCGCTTTCTATCTCTCTGTCTCTCTTTGTCTGTCTGTCGAGCACATGCACCCTATAGCAAAAACATCTTAAGAAAAAAAAAAAAAGATAATGAGAGATGGATAGGCTGGGGCCCAACCTCTTTCAGGTCAGGGATAGTATGAGCCAAGGTGTGAAGGCAGGAATCTGTGCAGGTTCATACATTTAATGAATCCTGGGTGGGAGACACAGATAAGGCAAGAGCGCAGCAGAGGGCTTTGAAGATCAGGTTAAGCAGTGTAAAAATATATCCTAAAGGCAACAGGAGTTCCCGGAAGGTTTGAGAAATGCAGAACGACATGGCTAATGAACACACACACACATCCCTCTAAACCTATGCTTCCCGGACAATTGTGTTTTGTTTAGTAATCACTTTGTTGGCCATAGACATGAAGGGAAGAAAGGAAAGAGGGATGAGTGCATCTACTAACAGCCAGAACTTGGCTCAGGCTCACAAAAACCAAGGCATGTGCCAAATGGTCAGTTCAGATGTCACCTTCTCTGTGATGTCCTTCCCAGTTCTTTCAGTTGGAAATAAACAGTTCTCCTTGTGATATTGTCACCATTAACAACAGCAACTGCCAGCACTGATGATGTTCTTGCTATGTCAGAGGCTAAGTGCTTCATAGTTTTCATGCCGTTCCATCTGGCTTGGGGGAACGTGTTAACTTGTCCAAGGTGTTGCAGTTGGAACATGGCTGGCTTGGCCTGGAAGCCTGCAATCTGTCTCCAGAGACCACTTTAACCGCTGAACTGTTCTTGCTAAGAGGGGATTCAACCCTGGACTGACAAGCATACTCGTTAGCATTTATTGAATGCTCAGTGTGTTTGAAAAACTCTACTAAGTACTTTTTAATGTTTTAACTCCTTTTATCCTCACAAAAATCTTATGAAGTGGATAGTTAATTATTATTCTCATTCTAAGTGTGGTGAAATTGAGACGTGGAGAAGTGAAGTAACTTCCCCAAGGACACAGCAGAGTTGTGGAGTCAGGGTCTGAAACCAGGAGAGCTGACTCCAGGGCCATGGCCCTTGCCGCAGAATGGTGCCCATTTGCCCAAGTGCCTCTGTGGTCTAGCTGTTTGCATGCCTGTGCCTGAGCCTCTGTGGTGCCCACGCTCCTTTTAGACAAGACTGAATTGTTCTCACACTTGTGCCTCTGTCCTAGTGCAGCACATCCTTACTCAGAGAAACATCTCAGAACATGTTGGATGAATCCAGGCATTTGTGACCCAAAATGGAGTCAGTGGGCCCTGCTGCTGCTGAGGCGGGTCAGAGGCTGAGGGGGCGTGTTTCCCAGGACACTGTGCCAAGCTTTACCTTCAGGCAGGCAGGTGCATGATGCCGCCTGTGTGGATGTTGTTAGTCAACGTGGAAGGAGAATTTCCCCATAATGACATAAGAACCAGACACTTAGATTTCCAGAATGTCAGAGCTGAAAGAGGCCTGGAAAATCATTTCATCTACTCTCTCGTTTTATTTACACAATGGGAGACAGAGATCAGGGGACTTGCTCAGGACCCCAGTGCAGTCTTACCTCCCTAGCTTTGCTTGGATGGTGGTTCAGGGAACCCTAGGGGGCCTTGTGGGGCCCCTAATGATTTAAAAAGGTGGGCAGTGGGTCAGGGAAGAGTTCTAGGTTCCTCCTCCTTCTTCCAACAGTCAGCTCTGCTTTTGATCTATTTGGGCTTTTCCCTTTTATAAGGAGACCTCTGGCTCAAAAATTAATACTTAAAATACAATGGCAGTATTACATGGTGGGTGTTTGTGTGTCTGTCCGTGTGTGTGTGTATGGTTGTTTTAATCTCCAGAGTACTTTCATGACACTTTTAACTCTTTTGATATTCATACTATGCAAATATTATGACAGCTTTGGGACTATTTTCTCTGTTTTACAGATGAAAAAATTTAGGTTTAGGGAAATCAAATAATCTAACTTGTGATCATAGGTTATATGTTGTATCAAATGGCAGGGCACAGAATTCTGGTCTCACAGACTCAAAGGTAGGATTGTTTAATAAGATTGATATTAACTCAGGAGAATGTTAAATACAATGACCCCCTCCTCCCTACCATAGATAATATTAAACTGTTTTTGTTCCTTCCTTTATCCTCCTCTATTTTTTCTTTTTTTTTTCTTCCTTCCCTTCCCTCTCATTCTTTCTTCAATCTTTCCTTCCTCCTTTTCTCCTTTCCCTCATTTCTTACTTCTTTTTATAATAAGTCCACAGATTTAGCTGTTTCTACTGAAAATGTACAGGCATCAGTAGAGAGCAAGTTGCTTTTGGCATGCAACTAATTCCTCTAAAACCCTCAATATGTTAAGAGGAATTATTTTTAAAAAGAGAAGCCTAGGTTGTCAAGAGATTGGTCTGTGGCCTCAGACAGACCTAGATTAAAAGCTAGGCTTCCTAAAATACTGACTGTATGATCTCAGGAAAGTTACTTGACCTCTTGGGCCTTGGTTCCTGATCTGTAGAATGGAAATAACAACAGTACTTTCCTCACAGGGCTGCTGTGAGGACTAAATGAATTAGCACATGTAAAATCATTAGCATAATACACGGTTCATATTGTCAGTCAGATAAAGGATGATATGCATGGGAGTAATGCTTTCTATACTCCAGGCTAACAGGTTTCTATCCTGTAAGACATTCATTTACTGTCGAACCTTATCAACCTCCAAAAAAGGCATTTCCAAACTCATTTGACAATCTAATCCTTCTTTACATACAGAATGTTCCAGGATAAACCATTCAAAAATTAAAAAACACTATTAACTACCCTAAAACCTTGTTATTTTGATAAAAGAAAAAAAGGCAGCATGAGTCTGTGTAGACCAGATTTATACATCTTAAAATGTGACTTTACTTTTTTGAACAGTGGTCCTTTAAAACGAACATCATAGTACTACTCTTAATTGAGACCCATAAAAATATTATGTAGCTTAGCTCATAGTTACCTTCATGTCGAGAGCTATTAGAATAGTTAAATACCATAAGCAAGTTTATTTTATTCCTAACACCTGTAGGAAAATAAAACATAGCAATCCCAGGGTCAGTAGAGACTAAGTGATGTCAAACCTCATCTTGCAACTCAGGTAAGCTAATAGACTGAGAAATCTGGTTCTACAGTTTGATGAAAAGAAACCAGGCAAAGATTTCTGAAGCGACATTACACTTTGGAGATAAGAGAAAATTTTTTTTTCCTTTGGAAAAAGGATTGGATTATTATGCAGCACTTTGATTCTCTACGAGGATATGCAGAAACTTTGATTCTATCTGAAAGTCAATCAGAGTTAGTAGTTTGGTAAAGATTGGGACCCACCATTTGGGAGAGGATTTAAACAATTCCGACAGTGAGAAGTCTTCTCCTGGGGCCAGTTATAACTTTTGATCTTTTGGTTTCCATCTATCTCTAAAGAGTCTTTGAATGTAGGAAATGAGTCTAGATGAGCTCAGATTTTTCAAAAAGTGGATGAAGTCTAAGAAGGAGATGATCATAGAACTGCAAATTCAATTGATCTACCTTGCACAGTCATCAAATCAAATGTATACATTGATAGCTTCAGGTTGCCTCTGAACCTACAGCCCTTGCCTTCCCAAAACAAGATCTGTTCTAATTAATTTCTAAAAAGCAAGTGGCTTATAGTAGAACAGACAACCAGTTGACCCCAAGTAGTCTTGTTTGTTTTCACAGTGTGATGATGCTGGGGGCAAGTGGCTACTTAGACAGCAACTACATTTCACAGGCTGCTTTGTACCGAGTTGAGCCAAGTGATTGGGTTCAGGTCGGTGGGATGCAACAGAAATGATGTGCATCTCTCCCAGATTGATCCCCCAAATCTGCAGACAATTTCCATTGTCTTTTTCCCCATCTGTTAGCTGGATCTTGGCAGTCAGAAAGACCCAAATAGACAGTGGAGCCTTCATAAGCCTGAGTCT